ATAGTTGAAATTTTATTTTATTCTAAATCTATTTAGATAAAATGTATATTTTATAACCCACCAAGTAATTTGTAAGCCTAGCACTTACAGAATGCTAATTTGAGCTGTTCAGCCTGCAGTCTCACTTAACTGATTTTTAAAGTCTCAATTTAGTATCTGTTGACTTTCTCACAACTTTGTCAATCTACTGACATTTGCCCTCTTTGTCACTGGAGGAGCACTCCGTGGTCATCGTAGCCCTGCCCTAATCACCCCAGGGCTATGTGTCAGACAACTAGGTACAGCTGCTATGCCCCAGAGCCTGCTCATGTTATTCAAACTAGCCAGTCCTAGGCTTGGGCACCCGCCTTCCATTCCTCCCCAGGGAATCTGTACTAAAGGCCCTTGACTGTTTTACCTCACTTCCTCTGCCTCCTGACCAAGCCTGGTGCTTCCCCATGTGGCCCTGCATGGCATGGCACACCACCTCCTCTGGGGAACTGTAACAAACTGTTTAATGGCAGCCCTCTCCTGACCTCTTGGCCTCACCTCACCTGAATAACAATAAAACCTACATCTTAAAACAGACTAAATTTGTGTGCACCTATGTGGGGAAGAGAGAAAAAATGGTTGTGCTTCTTATAGTAGTGTAAACCATCTTTGAAAGAAATGCTTTAAAATGGATAACATACTGATGGTGTGCTTTTGTCTTTCTATGAAGACATTTTAAACTTGTATAGTTTTTAGTTCATACTCTGCAGATAAAATACATATTTTCTTTTATAATTTAGTTCCTTTAAGACTATTCCTACTCTTAATCCTTGGTATTTGAAATGGTGACTAATTCCTTTTTCTTTTTTATTTCAGTGAACAATTTAAGAAAACTTTATCATACAAGGTAACCTTTAAAAGATCTAAATATTTTGCTAATATACTTCTTATCTTTTATTTTTATGGTTTCCTCCTAAATTTCTAACAGAGTGTATAATCAATAGTTATAGTATTTGAATTACTTGTGAATACTACATGTGGATTTTTTTTTAAATCAAGATTAATCTTTAAGTAGTTGACAAGATTTTGTGAAGGGTCCAAGAGTTTACCCTACTTGCAAGCTAACTACTTAGCCTACCACAGTTTCATGGATGCTGATAGAAAACAAGAGTCTCGTGAGTCAGAGACAAACACAGCCATTGCTCACAAAAATAGAAGTCAACAATCATCTTGGCCCAATTTGGGTCCAATTCCTAAAGGACAGAGCAGAAGGAGCCAGGTGACACCTGCATATATAGTGAGCTGCATTGCAGGAGAGGAAACCTGAGCTTAGGAAACCCAAATGCTTTAAGATTCCATCTTTAAGCACACATGCCCACCCTTAGCTCCAGAGNAAATGCAGTTTAAGTCATAATTGCAGAGAAAATTCATTCATTAAACTTTTATTGAACACCTGCTATATGCCTATCCATCTCCTAATACTCTTTCCATTTAATTGGACTCAAGTTTATGTAGTTTGAAGAAAAATCAACTGTATCTTATTTCAGGGAGACACAAGCAATTTTAGCTAATGGTTCTTTTTTGGTATATTATAATCAATTGTGTTTAGGTATCATTTCATATTTTCTTATTTTTTATTGAGGTATAATTGACATACATTATATTAGTTTCAGGTGTACCACATAATGATCCAATATTTGTATATATTATAAAATGATCACCACAATAAATCTAGTTAACATCTGTCACTATACATAGTTACAGGATTTTTTTAATTGTGATGAAAACTTTTAAGATCTACTTTCTTAGCAACTTTCAAATATGCAATACAGTATTATTACATCCCATGATTTACTTATTTATATCTGGAAGGTTGTACCTTTTGACTCCCTTCACCCATTTCACCCACCTCACATCCCCTATCTCTGGCAACCACTGATCTGTTCTCTTCAATTCCACATAAAAGTGAGATCGTATGGTATTTGTCTTTCTCTGTCTGTTGTTTAGAAAGGTTGGCACATAGGGGATATATTAACATAATGAAAGAAGCAAGAGGTAAAGTTGGCAAACTACCAGGGCCCAGAACATTAGAGGCCTTGTTTTTTGTTTGTTTCTTGTTTTGTTTTTGCCAGGAAGTCAAAAGTTTTTTCTTAAGGCAGGGGGAAGAGGGGAGCCTTCAGTAAAGAAGCCCAGTGTGTATCCAACGTCTTCCTTTCTCCAGTAAGGTATCCCATTCATGGTACGTTGGTGCTTCAGCTTAAGAAACAAAAAATTTAGAGCTGCCTGATCTTGAGCATAATTTTCTAGACAGAGCAGGTATTCTGGCTGCATGTGTGCACATTTTCCATCCATGGTTTTTGCTTTTGTTTATGTTTGTTGTTTTTTTCTTTCTTTTTTTTTGTTGTTGTTTTGTTTTGTTTTGTTTTGTTTTTGGTTTGGTTTTGCCTTATTTGGTGCTTTGTACTGATAAAAAATGTTGCTGTTCTGGTATGGCTCTTCCTTAGCTTAAAAACTGACTCCTTTACCCTTGTACTTCCTTTTTGGTCAGTGCAAACACCATTGAAACTGTCTACATCATCAGGTTCCTCCTAACTTGAATGAGACAAGGCAAAGACTTCAGTATGGGAGAATTACATCACAGAACAAATGAGGTTGCTGGTGTTAAAACATTTGATTCTTGAGTTAGTTTTTTCATGAGGACACCTGAAGAATCATCATGTTTAGTCAAGATTATTATTTTGTGCTTTTAAATGATGTGTAGGCACAAGCATATTGGAAGTAAATCGAAAGTAGAATTTGATTTTTAGATTAATACCATATCTCAAAATACCACTTTCTGAACTGGTTCAGTGTCTTTGAGATCATGCTCATGTTTCTAGGAGTTTCATAATATTTATAAAACTGGGATGTGGAGGAGGAATGCTTTATTAGAGGTAGTTTTCCCATAAAGCATCTGGGCATC